GTCCTGCCCCTCTGTGTGGTCCAATAGCCACTGCTGACATTTTCCTACAGCTATTTCTAACCAACCCCACTTGCCTGGCAGCACACTAAGTTGATGAAGACTCCCTGTGGTTAATCAGCTCAGAAGGGAAGGACCAGCCTGTCCCACCCATGCTTACACCTCAGTAGCCACCAACAGAGTGGGGAAAGCAGCAAACAGCAGAAATACCTTGCCCACACACTTCAGAGTAATTATAGTCAATACAGGAAGTGTTGGGGCCCGCGCTACCCACTTGTCCAGAAGAAACTAGGAACACGACAAGAGGAAGAAGCAAAAGGCAGTCTTTGGCCTCCAACCCAATCAGTACTCATCCAGGAGATGTGAACACAGAAGAGATTGGGAGTTGCACACCTGTGGTTTCTGAAACAACAGCAACTGAAATAAACAAACAACTCCAGGAAGCTATAAAAGTATTTAGAACAGATGGAAGGTGCTGAGGAAGGACATTTCCATAAGTAGGTCCTATGTGGAGATAAAATGTTCCATGTAAAGAACAACTACCCAGCCTTCAAATATCATCTTGAGGAGTAAAAAAAGTTTATAAGTGAAATAAAGGAAAGCAAATAGACCGTCTCATAGAAAGAAACAGTTATCAGGTGATAATGATCCAAATTCCTAGATTTTCTTTATGGCTGTTACATTATACTTAATCATAGTGATCACAGAATCCCACAATGTCCAGCACACAATATGATGAAAGAAGATTATAGCTGAAGGAGGTGCAGGATCTGCGCTCAACTGAGAAAACTCAGTGAAGCTGCAGTGAAGTTGTAGGGACCTCTGCCTCTACCACCTTCCATACAGTACTCAGAGCCCCCAAATCCTCAAACCCAGTTCTCACTCTTCCCTTGGTGACTATGAAAGAGTTTTTGGCATGGTTAGAAGATAGAATATAAAGTAAAGTGGCCTTCATTTTAAGGATGTGGAGAGAAACTCCACTACCACCAGGTACCACCTGGTTTTCTTTGCCAGACATGTGATATGGGGGCCATAAATATAGCTTTGGTCTGGGCTGGTGCATAAAGGGGCATTACTGATGCACCAGAAGATCTCTGGAACTCTTTTTACCCCACAGGTAAATTGCCTAGGGTTGGGGAGAATGACCTCAAGGTAAACATCACTTGGTACTGCCTCTCACTGCTGTAGTGTCCTATGTAGTGAAAATTCTTTCAGATTACAGCAAAGTATATCTCAGCTGAGTATTTGGAACATCCAGGTGTGCCATGAGATGCACCTAGAGTCACAGACCCAGAAGGACACACCTGCAGACATGCTCCTTCAACGAACTGGTCACACACCTCACAGACTCAATTTCAAGTCTATATTGGTTTCTGAGGTCATGAATGGAAAAGCCCAGTATCTGGAGCACATCAGAAAAGCACTGTGTCCTTGATGGAGAGAATGTGTCCTGTAGAGCTTGGGTCTCCCTCATGGAGAAGAACTTTCAACAGGCAACTGCTGCCTTCATTTTGTGACCCTGAAACCACACCACCAATGCCAGTAGGCAAAGGTGTTAATACTGAGTCACCTTTTGCAGTGTGTAGGACACACTCTACCATATACATAAGATCAAGAAAGGTCCCTACTTGCAGAGTGGAGAGCAGAAGAGAACTTAACAGGGAACCTGCTCTGCACCTCAATCAATAACAGTTTCTAAAAAAGGGACATGGTCCTCTGGGACCTGGATCATTGAATGATATAAAATTAGAATCCTGTAAAGACTGAAATGCTTTACTTTTCTTTCTTCTATAGGGGGCCAAGGTAGTGACAATCTGTAGGAACCTAGGACTCCTTCATCTACAAATGTCCTGGTTTTCCTTTGGCAATAAGAGCAGATATCTGAGGCAGAGAAGTTATTTTCTTCACAGATGGATGATAACTCTCCAGGAGCTAAACGCAGACTGTAGGTAATGCAGGTTGGAATTTAAATGTTTTTACAACTTTACATACTTTTTTCTGAGTTCCCACATTGAGGGGACTCTGGTACCATGAAGGAAGAGTCTGAGAACACTGAATTTGAAATAGGAGGGCTCAGAGTCAAAGAAGCATTTGGGACCTGTATAAGTACCTTTCTCTTTTGATAGCCTTGTGTCCCAGATCAGAGACACTTGTCCAGGGTGAATGGACACAGGGCAAATGTCAGGTGAGCCAGGCTTAAACCCCCTGCAGGGGCCACTTCCTTCTCAAGGAGACACTGCTGGAGTGCTAAGGGCCTTCGATGGATCTTAACACCCAAATCCTGTTCATTGCCTGGGGAATATGGCTGGTTAGGTGACACAGAGAGGATAGATCAAATTGGAGGAGGACATAGTGTCATGTGAGCTGGATGTAGGACATTTCCGGTATCCCATCCCTGAGTGCTCAACTTGGATGGAAGGCAATGGTACAGAGCATTTCTAGTCAATAAGCACAAATTTTGTTAGAGTATTTTACACAACACCATCAGTTATCAGCATGTTTTCTTCTACTGGTTAGTCCTGAGCAATTTCTAGGGTTGGAATGATTTGTGCACACAGGTGCTGGAGGTTGTGCTTACCACAGGCTTTAATTAAATACAAGGCATTCAATTCCAGACACCAGCCCAAGAGCCTGTTTTGTGGCTGCTTTGCTTTGTGGCCCTGTAGACTCTGCTGTGTATCACTGTGTGAGAGACAAAGTTGAGTGAAATCAGTTTGCACCAAGACAGAACAGCCATGTGGAGACAAAAAATTGAACTTTAGGGCACCAAGTGGCTGAGCTGCACTGTGAGGCAGCTCATGAGCTGTGGAGAGAAAGAATGGAGAGGGGGTATGTGGTAGGAGTGTAGAATAATAGACACACAGAGAGAGACACATATACAGATACACATACACACACAGAGAGACAGGAACACAGACACACCGAGAGACACACACACAGTGACTTTCAACCATTCGTCCTTTGATGTAGCTGCTTCATGTCTTATTCTACATTTTTAGCAATATGAGGTGAGCTCTGTGCTCTCTCACATTCCCCACCCCGTGGTCTAATCTTCAGAAAATATGGGCTAAAATACACCGTCACAAAAATTCCATTTCCAATATCTGAAAATTTCAGATAGTTTATCTCAGTAATTTGAAGTTCAGTAACACAAATGTGGAATGGCAAAAGTTGAGTTACCATCTCTTCTTATAAGTACAAAAAACACTCAGCAATCCAAAATGCATTAAAAGGGCTGGGAATTTAGTTCAGTAGCATAAGCACCTGCCTGGAAAGCATGCAGTCACAAGTTTGAGCACCAGTACCCCCCAAAAAAACAAAAGAATGCATTAATAACAAAATGTATGTCATATTAAGACCAATAAAGTACCTGTGCACTATGGAGGTTGTCACAGAGATTGAGTGCAAGTTAACTGCAGGAATTTCTTTTGGAACCTGCTAGTGCCAGGTTTCCAATCTTTACTAAGGAGTGAATTAGTGGCTCAGATAAGTCAGAAACCTGATCCTTAGAAACTGAAATTTATGCACTTGATGTCAGATATACCCATCACACTAAATCTGGTTAGATACATGATTGGTAATTAAAAGCTCCATCAACACACTTGTATGAAAATCTACTATTCAAGAGGCACTGTTTATTATTAGGTAGATAGCAAGACTATTACCAAAACCCAACCAGTAATCATTGCAGAGAAAATTATTAAACCTTTTAACTTGATAGCAATTGAGCTGAGGGACTCACAAGGGCAAGGAATATAGCTTTGGATAAATGTAGGAACTTAGGAGATATTTTTCTTATTTACTAGAAAGTAGAAAAGAGACAAAAAAAGGTTTTCGCTGCTCAATAACGGGAATCCATAAAAAAGAAGACAAATGATTTTCTACGTGACCTAGTCACAGGTGCGTGTATGCACTCTATTACTGCCCTATAGTAAATTAGGGAATGTAACATTCATAAAAATAAGGGCTTAGAGAGAGAGCAAGGTTGAAATGGGAAATGAAAACACCTTGTTTGGAAGAAGGAAAAGAAATGAGGGTCAGACATGTACCTGTGAGAAGGTAGTGGCCAGATAACTGAGGGCCATGTTCCTGGCTGCACTGAGTAAAGAGGCAAAAAAGCCTTTTCCCTGGCACTTGTGCCAGGCCCTGCAATCCCAACTCAGGTACCATTGTCTTCCTGCAAATTCCTACATCAGATTCATTAGATTTTCTTTCATGCTGTCTGATCTAAAATTTATGGGTTGTCTAAAAACAACCTTAGATATGAAGTCAGGTCAACAATTAGGCAACAGTTTAATGCACTAATATAATGAGTGGAATATATCCATACATGCCAAAAGTGTTTTCACTTTCAGTCAAATGTGTTTTTGTATCCCACACTCAATACCAGGAAGTGATCTAGTGGATCCAGTGTGGGACTCTGTTTCAGCAATTGTGAATCTCGTGCTTGGCTAGGTTTACTGTCACAATTTAGGTATGATTTATGACACTGGATACAGAATGAAACTTTTCTGAAGCAGTTTGACTGTGTTTTTTCCTTCATCTTTACTTTTCCCAGAGAACTCTTACTGTTTTTATATGTAGTTTCTTCATTCATGGTGTAATGCATTTCTCTTGATGGATGAATACTAATTAGTTCAATGAAAAGGACTGAGAGAGACTCTGACAATCTGAGCAATAAATCTTATAGCCTCATTTCTTACAGCACCCCCTAGCCATGCCAGTTTTTCCAGGTCTGACCTAGCCAAATAATCTTTTATGACCTCAAGGGATTTGCTTTTCCAGAGGACACTGACCAGGGAACATTCAGGACCCAACTTAAGGTGAGGGCACTGAGCCCTTTAGGAAACCCAGTACAGCTCTGCAAAGCCAGCAGTGAAGCCCTTAAAGGGAAGTATGAATACTGGCAGATGAGAGTGACATCACAGGAGAGAGATGGGCCCAGGAGCCAATCATTGATAAAGGTGGGGCTGGCTGCTCACCCAATCGGGTGGGCCAAGAGAGGAGGGTCTTCCCAGCCGGAGTGCTGCAGTGCTCACTGGGAGTTCAGTGCTGAGAGCCTGGAGCTGAGCGCACCTCTAGTTTCTTTGAGTTCTTACTGCAGGCTGCAAAGGATCCTCGGACACCCTCAAGCATCACAATGGTAACTTGATGGTACCGCAGCTGGGAATGGGATGGAACTGTGTTTGTTTTGGAAGGAAATGGGCTGAACCACTGTAAGCCCAGATCGTCTTTTTGGGCAGCCCCAGGCACAGCTGTGTTTTGGGATGAGCGGTGGTGCAGAGGCAAACCTGAGTTGTGTCCTCAAAATGACAAAAACTATCATCTGAATTCCTTATGTGAGACCTCTCCTTGAATGTTATTACTTCATAAACAGAACTCATAATCTCACAACACTGATTTTGGAGTTCCGGAACCAAAATAAGAAATGAGAAGAGCTCCTTGGCTTCCGGAATGCTTCCCCTGTGAGTAGTCAGCTGACCGGGCACATATGGCTCTATGGATTTAAAATAGACCTCTATCTATCTATTTATCTTCCTTTTCTGTTTCATTTTTTCATTGTTTGGATACAGAGTGTATCTGTGTGGCCTGGACCTTACGTCTGGGCCATTCTCCTCCACCAGAGTCCAGTGTGAGGAGATGACAAGCCTGAGTCACAGCACCCAGAAGAAAGGACTACTTTGAACCCAGGTTCTCTAGCACATTTCCTTAGCCTGTGATGTCTACAGGAAACAGGGTTTAGAGATAAACTGGCTGTTTGTATTTACATTTCTGTTATCTCAGGAGTTTAGTAAGTAGCAGCTGCAAGTCTCCATAGTTGACAGGAATCTGCCTTTTATTGTGGGTGAGAAAATTCACTGCTGGTTCAAAGCCCTAGGTCATTGTCTATTTTCATTTTAATTTTTATCAAACCCATTAATTTTCCAAGTTTTCTGCAGGCCTCTTCCTTAGCTAGTGTCTTAATTATACACTAAGTAAATAAACAGTTTTTTACAATTGAACTACTGAAGCAAGGCTTGTCATAGTTTAGAATGCTGTGAGGTATTTTGGGGGATGGCAATGCATTAGCTCCTGAGGGGAAAGTTCCTGCAGAGAACAACTTCCTGTAGGTGCTGCCTGTTAATCCCACACTGAGAAACACAGCACACTGGTCTAGATGTGATAAATATGAGAGTGGAAATGGAAATGGGTGTCATATCTGAAAAAATTGCTGTAGCCTTTGGGCTGTGCTTAGACTTTGACCTGCAATTTGCAACACTTAGTTGGGCCTAGTGACAGGTGCCCTTATTCCCAGCACTCAGGAGGCTGATTCTGGAGGATCCTTGCAAGTTTAAGGCAAGCCTGGGCTATGAATTGAGCTCAAGGGTATCCTAAATGGTGTTGTGAGACCCTGTCTCAAAAAGACAAAAAAAAAAAATGCTAACCACTGAGATGGATTTTTTGCTGAAGTAGGGGTATACTTACATAGACCCAATCAGCAGGCAGAAGAGTAAAGGAATTCTGAGGTGAGCTTGACCTAGTGTGACAGCACTGACGGATTGTCAGCCTGCTAGGTCTGAGAGTAAGAAAAGTGTCAGAGGCCTATAGAAAGGAGGGACACCTTGTCATAGATCAATACTTCTTCTGTGTCTACTGATCAGCTCCTCCCATCATCTCTGAGGTTAGATAGGAAATTAGAACCCAGGTATTGGCGGTTTGAAAATATGTTGGACATCACAGCTAATGTAGCAACGGAAGTGTTTTTCTGTTGGACACCAAAGATTTCAAGGCACATATCATGTTTCTTATTGTCCAGTGACTGGCCTCAGAAATTTGGCCCTTACCTACATCCTCCCAAATTTGAAAAAAAATTTTAATTTTTAAAAAGTTTTTATTCCATTTTGAGATAAGGTCTTACTGTTTTACCTAACTTGGCAAGAAGTGTTGAGACTTTGCCAGCACTTTGACTGTCGAGTATGTCCAGTACAATTTCATGTTCTCTTAAATTTAAAAATGAATTTTAGGAACAATGGAGGTTAAATGCAGAAGTGTTTATTGAGAGAAAGAAAACTTCTGTCTGAGAGAGAGACAGGATTCTCTAGTAGACTGCTGAAGACTGTATTATCTAAGAATTTTTCTAGGGTAAAACCATGAGGTTAGGCAAGCGTAAAGCCAGACAAGGTGTAAAGGGAGTCTCAAGCATCATCTACTGTAGTGCAAGGGTTTCAGGTGTGCACTACCTTGCCTGGATCAGTGTTTTCATTTTTATGTCACCAAATTCCACCAAGGTTTACAGTTTTAGGGTAAAGTAAACAACATTGAGTCATGGTGGTGCACAAATTTAATTCCAGCCCCTTGTGAGAGTTAGGAGTGTTTCAAACCTAAGGCACCTTGAATAACTGAACAAGAGCTTCTTCAATAAGAGATGCACTTTGAGGGTTTACACCCACCCCAAATTACCTTTTCTAAAGTCCATGGGACCCTTAGATAATGAAGAGAAAATATTTGCAGTTTAAACTTCTATTGAATTTTTAAGTTGACACACTGCATTTACTAGTGATACATGGCACATTGCAAAGTTCATATGCTCATGTCAGGGGACACAGAGATGAGTTTCTGGTTTCAGAACAAAGACGTCATAGGTGAACAACCTGTGATTCACAGTGTCTTGCATTCAGTAAGGTACATGTGATATTTAGTGGTGTATTATAATTTATCTTTCTGTTATATCAGAAATAAAGATCAAGGCATTTGTATTCAGCACCTTGAAAAACATCTACTGCTTAGTGATGGTGTTTGCAGTATCAGGCTTGTTTTTGTGCATATTCAATGAATTTTGTTGTCAATTACTTTTAGGTTGATCAAGTCATTTTCTTTTTCAAACTCAAATATTGCTTTTATGTCAGTCCTTCCAGTCTTCATATTATCCCCTATACAACACAAGCCTCACCCGGTTGTTTGCAGTTTGGAGAGCTGTGTTCAGCTGTTTCTCCTGAGAGGCTCCTTCAGGAGAGCAGTGCAATCCTGTTTGGATATGTGAACACCATTGGGAGCATTTTGTGTCTTTGTTTCCCTGGACTTTATTATTATTATTATTATTGTACTGATGTGGTCCAAACTGGTCATACTGCTTGACATGTATCCACCAGATGAGAGGATAAAATGGAAATTTTAAGTTTGCAGAAATTGAGCTGATTGGTTAGCACTAGGGTCAGGAGTAGACATAATAAGTATTTCTGTAATATATCTTTTAGTGTCATATCTGTAACAGCATCAGGTTTATAATTTCAGTTGAGTGGTGTGTTTGCCTCAGAAGGATTCAAATGTTTGGCAGTTTCACCTTTTTAAAGAGAGAGGAGTTTCTAAGGTACCTAGGACTTATCGGAGTACTGACTACATGCATAGTGGTGTGAGCATAACAGAAAGAGATCAAAAAGGTGGATAGAGCATGAAAGTCACTAGAGATAGAGCACCTGGGGCTACACTCAAGTGAAACGGGGAAGGAGACAATGCACAGGAAAAATGGACAATTCCCATTGGATATTTTGTGATTAATTTTCCCATTTAAAAATAAGAGTTGGGCATATTTGATATTTCATGATATAAATTATTGCCTTAACCCCATGAATATGATGTAGTACCCTTGAATATGACAAGCTGCAGAATACTGGAAAGATTGTGTTTCATGTACAGATAATTTTGTGACTCTTTTCTTTCTGAGGAAGTGATTTTGCTTGTGATAGGACTTTTTTGATAAAGTATTTCCTTTTTCTCCTGCAAAGACTTAACAATAATCAGAAAATAATTACTATATATAAAAAAATCTGTGAAGGGAATTCTTAGCTAATATTTTGTGCTGATTACTTATGGTGTGTCCCATGATGAATATGAATCTCCCAGTCCATTGTAAAGCTCTGCACTACTTTGTGGATAACTGGTTTATAGCACATGGTAAATGACTCACTTCGAATGTGCTGGACAACAATTTAATATGAGTTGGGTGTAATAATAATAGGGAAAATAGCCCACTATTTTTCTGCACATAAGCACAGGTGTTTGCCACTACTTTAGCCTATAAGGCCTCAGGTTGCTCATGCTCTCAGAATGAAATCTGCAATCTTGCAGTGGAAATTCTTCAGCAGAGACAGAGCCTGAGAGGAAGGGACCATGCACCAGATGTAATCTCATAGGTCATGCTTCCTCACCACATAAAGCCACACCCAGACATGTCTTTCCTAATAATCTCAGTGTCTTCAGTCTCACAAAATGTGACAGTAGAAGTCTAAGCCTCAGGGGTGTCATGTTGAGTACGTTACTTTGGAAAGATTAGCAAGCCCAAGAGGTTAAGAGAAAGAAAGGGCTATTATGGAGCTGAGTCCTTGCCTCCTCACAGGGAAGGGATTGAGGATGGGGCTGCATGCAACTCTCATTCTGCCTTCCTGCTAGGATTAGATTTCAATAGCTTGGATTCCTTTGTGATGGAGGGTACAGTCAGGTGACATTATTGGATATTTTATCCCAGTCATAGGAAGAGCCAGAGACATCTAAGTATGCTAAATTAAATGAGAGTTTAAATATGAGGTCTGAAACAGAGCTTCATTGTCATGATGATGAATCCCAAAATTAACCAGCACACCCTCACAATTCCAAAGTGATTTTAGAATGTTTAAAAATCACATAAGAATTTTTTAAAAGTTTAAGATAAATAAATTTTATCAAACATTTTGGCACTGGCTCTGATGAAAATAATTGTTAGGACCCTTGCCAGGCATGTATAACCTCCTGTCGTATATCTAGAGTCATGCGATAAATGAATAAATTGTTGAAGACATTACCTTCTTCAGCTTATAATGTTAAAAGTTGGATGTTATGATAGGAGTTTAAATAACAGAAGGTGAAATAATACTGTAAAGGTTAACATGAAAAGGGGCTGCCTGTTCAACACACAAATTGATCTTTTTGAAATGGGCAATTCACATATACGTGCAGTTTTTAAAAACGGAATCACTCACAATCTCTCATTGCCAGGCAGGCACTGTGCTGCTGAGCTACATTACTGGCCTTGTAAAAGAATTTTTTCTCTGAATGCAGAGAGAGAAGCACCACTGGTCATATAATTATTATAATTCATTGATAGCGACTGGACATTGTTGCAAAGGACAT